TCGATGTTTGAATGGTAAGGAGTGAGCTGTGGTTTGTCTTGCATAAAGACCTTGTTTTATGCTGAGTTTGGGTATGTTTAACATTTGTTCTACTATGATTTGATTATGTTAAATATTATTTGTATTCTACAGTTGCATGCATAGTGATTGTAACTGATTATGTAGGTTTATAATTATGATACTTGTTTTACCCATTAATTACTATTTAGTTAAATATTTAAACATTATGAAGTAATTCTCTTAAAGAATGACCGAAGCACTTATGCAGACTGTTTTAATTATGTGAACTAGTAGTATTTGAGTACTACAGTATTATCAATTACTATGTCAGTATAGATTTGTAGTATTATATAAAGTACACTTTAGAAATTATTAAGCAATGTAGTAATTTCTTTTATATATTACACTGAACCTGTTAATTTTATACTTGACCATGCCTTCAGCATTGGTAGACTATCTTGGTGGCGCTAGAACTAAACATAGGTGGCGTCTTATGGTAAACAAAGATCCAATATGGCAGCGCCCATGGCTTTGCATATTATTGTATGCTAATACTAATAGGTATACGTTGACTAGAACTTTACTTTATACTATGTTTATTCATGATGATAAATTAATTAAATATTAGAAATAAGCTGGGACAATTGTTTGATTTGTTTTTAGCAATTTGAGGAAACTTATTTACAAGTTTATGAAAGAGTTAGTGTATGAGGCTATCGAGTTAGACCTGAGACTGGGTAAGTCAAGATGGCCGATTGTTGAATTTATTTTGATAGCGTATTTATTATACTTTCATAACTACTCCACCTGAATATTACTTTATTTAATATTTAACAATATGGATAGAGATTAATTGTACTTATATTCAATATTTACTTATGTCTACCATTTTCTTTGAAAACTGAAGATTACTTCCCATACATACTGATTAGATGGATCCAGACAATTTGGTCATATTAAGGAAGACTTACTTTATTACTATTCTAATGGATTATTAACAGATTACTTTATGATATTTTATATGACGTATTCATGATAGAAGTTATGAGTTTGACTATGTATTGTGTATTATCGATGATATGTTATGTTTTAAATGATTAATATTTAATTATTGATTCGTAATTTAAGGAGACCACATTACTTTGATGATTTTAATGAGGTGCGATGAAAGATAGAATGTTAAGTTACTTTCCTTTCATCCACAGGGGTCTTTGTTGTTTCTTTATATTTGTTATGTTAAGCTGAGTATTACTGTATCCAAAGAGCTTCACAAGATTGACTTTACTGTCTAAAATAAAGAACTCCTATCAACTCAAGTCGCATTGCATCGGTGTTATTAATTTTGAAGTGGTGTCCTGACAATACATCCATCCGAGTGATAGAGATAGCAATTCGCGACATTAGGATTAGATGAGAAGCAATACCAAGCTGCTCTGAGTAGGCTGAAGGCAAAAGGTGAGAGATCATATTGTAAAGTGAAAAGTTGATTATGAGAATGTGAGTATAAATTATGCACACACATGTTGTTCTCAAGCAAAACATTCATTTTCTGAACACAAGTATGAGCTTTTGCAATTTAAATTTAAATAAACATGTATTTTCTTGCTTTCCTCAATAAAAAAGTACTAGTTATGAATACAAATAAGTGAAAAAGTAATGAAAGGTAAGAAAAAATTAAAAATTAAACTACTGTACTGTGTAATACATTTAAACATTGCAGACATCGATAAAAATATTTCTCTCGAGTCTACAAGAAGACAAAGGTGTGACGTTAGACAGAAAGTTTGGAACATGGTGGTACTGCAATTAAAGGGATTATTAATCAGCAATAAATGTAAGGGTTTCAAGGAAATTTCAAAATATTACTGAATTACATGTTTTTTTTCTTTGCTTTTCAAGGCGGCTCATATCATCTCTGTATCGTAAGTGACAACATAGAGTGGGAAAATAAGTTGATGGAGGACTTACAACACAAGAGACCAGAATTTTGAAAAAATGGAAGCCTGAAACTATTAATAATGTAGTAATAGAGAGCAGAAGAATTATCATTGCATTTTCACCAAAACCATTGACTGAATATTCTAAATATGCTGCACACACTGTTGTTATAGAAATGCTGAAATCAGAAACACTTAATGATGCTAAGATAATACCAGTCAAGTTATCAGAAGATGCTGTTGTGCCATTTGAGTTTGAATTATTCACTACGGTCAATGCCTGTGAAGAAAACTTTGTTGACAAAGTTCTGCAAGATTTATATGAGTGTGGTAAGTACTAGCTCCAACAGGATGTTATGTTTTCACCACCATTTGTGTCTTTGTTTGCAGGATTATTAAAAAATTAATGAATGGATCATTGTAATATAGTGGAGCAGTACAAATAATTGATCTAATGGGGAGAAGTGATTTTGGGATGAAAGGGCATGACCAAAATATACAGAAAGTTAAAAAATCATGTATCAAAGTTGTCTGGCAGTATGAACTCTATCAGGTGCTGGCTCTATTTATTTATTTATTTTTGCCTTCTATAACCTATCCAATAATATCAGTCAAAGGAGATTAATATGTTTAAGCACTCATGAACAAATGAAGATATGTTTAAAAGCATGGCCTACAATAAAGCATATCTTGCAATCTGATCTTCTGAACATGAAGAAACAATTTCAATGTGTTTTGTATTTCTAATACTGCATGGTGACTTAGTGGATAGTTTAGGAAAGATTGGTAGAAATTTATTAATTAATAAAGTACCAATCATTGATCACTATTTATTTTGGTTTGATTATGATTATTGTATGTGAATTTAGAATTGCTTGATCACTATAATAATATAGATGATAATAATGACAATTATATATATTACTTAATGGTAATATACAATGAAAAAGATGAAGATGACAATGACTGCAAAAAGAAATTAAATAATGAAATAATACAGTAAATGGCATTATAAACATTTCTGATTGTGATGTAGATATCTTTACCAGAAACAACAGTACTGTAATATGAATTTTAATATTAAAGATAAAATATAAGTTGTAGACTTCAGAATTTCAATTATTAATCATGCAAAAATGACTTTAAAGAGACAGAAAGTGAGACATGTGATATACCATCTCCTGCCACCATTGAATATACATCTGAACGATTATCAAGTGATGAACAGAAGACACTGCTAGTGGAATCAAGTGAAAGTGAGTTTAATTTCAGTATTAGATTGTTGCTTTCATTGTTGCTATGTATTACTGTAGAGTAAAACAAACTTTATCCTTCTTAATTTTACCTTATAATAGAGACTCAAAAAAGTGAGACATCTGATTTACAATCACCTGCCACCATTGAAGTAAAACCTGAAAAATTACCAACTGATGAGCACAAGACACAGCAAGTGGGATCAAGTGAAAGTGAGTTTAGTGAAATTAGTATTATATTGTTGCAGCGGCTATAGAACAAACACTACTTTATATTTATTTTACTATTATAGTTCTTGATGTTGCTTTTGCTCTGCATTAGCAGTAGAATAATAAAATAAACATATATTATCCTTCTTAATTTTCAGCAATAATGGAGACTCAAAAAAGTGACATGCCTGATGTGCCATCTATTATGACCTTTAAAGAATCATCTGAAAATTGTCAAGTGATGAAATCAAGACACAGTTAGAGGGAACAAGTAAAAGTGAGTTTAAATATTTAAATAATATATTTTGGTTTTTGTTTTTTTTGCATAGCAGCAATATTCATCTTTTCAAACATTCTATTTCCATGTGCAATAGGAAGACAAAAATATTACACATCACATTAGCTCAACCCGCCCTCGATAAACTAACGTTACGTTATCTCACTATATTAATTGGATTAACACATTATCAAGGATAAGTACTGAGTGTTTAACACTGGTGTCCTTGGATTCAATTATAGGTAAACGGATTAGTTGCCTTTTTTATGAGGTTTTAATTGTTCTTTACCGCCGAAAGTGCGGTATTCTAACGTTAGTTTATGGAGGGCTGGTCGGCCTAATGAGATATGCCATTCATTACCCCCTCCAGAACATATTTAGCTGTTCCATGGCTAAAGGCCAGTTTATACTTGCAACGATGATGATAAAATGCTTAAAAGTGGGAACAAGTGAATATGAGTTTAATTATTTCATATCACTGTAGTAGCAGTAGATTAAAACAAACAACCATATTCTTGTATTAACAACTATATCATAGATTCCAAAAAGGGACATGCCTGATGTGCCATCCACTATGAGCCTTGAAGAAACATCTGAAGAACTGTCAAGTGTTGAATACAAGGCTCAGCTAGTGAGACCAAGTGAAAGTGAGTGTTTAAGGATTTCAATGTTTTATTATTATATTGTTTTTTTATTTTTAGTAATTCTGACTTATAACACCAGATTGTGTTTCTTGGAAATGTATTTGAACATTAACCACAGATTGTTTTACTAATTGAGCTCCATGGTACCAAATGGACTAGATATTTATTCTCAATGGCTATGTCAGAAATTAATTCGGAGTTAAATCAAATATTTTAAGATATGTCACACGATAAGAAATAAAAAAAAAAAAATAGCTCTGTGTAAAGTAACTTGGATGTTTGCTTAATAATGATATTGCTGGTAAATCCATGACGTTTTTTCTGTTATCAAGAAATCAATGGTGACCTGAAATTTTGTATCATAACATTAATTTTTTTAATCAAGGCATAACAAATTATTAAGCACCAAAGCCACTATGTAAGGTAAAATACAATGCTTATTTTTTGTTGTTGTTGTTGTTGTTGTTGAACAGTCATCTTTATCCATTTTATCCATTGATATCAGTACAATCATCCAAATGCATCAACACTTTAATATAATTTCAAAATTATGTTTTAAGTTTTCTCTAACTCATTCTCTTTCTTTTCATGATTTTCATTATTTGTTTAAATGCTTTTTCTTTTATACAATAAAATAGCGACCAATGAAGATAATGTTATAACATTAAATATCATTAGATTTAAGTGTCATTTATGTTTTATTTACCAACTGCCTAATTACTGTTAGAGGCTGAGGCTATCGGCACTGCCGCAGTGAGAAAAAAACCTGCTGTTTTCTATCAGAACTGCAGCAGTGCGAAAAAAGCTGTTATTTTTATTTACATTATTGCCGGAGTGCGAAAAAAGCTGCTATTTTCTATTGGCACTACTGCAGTTTTTTATCGGCAGTACTACATTCGAAAAGCTGTTGTTTAATTAATCAAAATGGATGATTTGAAGGATTGATAACATTATTGTATCTATAATTGATTAGGTCTAATAATAATACCAGTAATAATAACAGTGCTCGAATAAATAATAATTTCTTGAAGAGTTATATTGCATGACATTGAAAACTAATATGTAATTAACTCGGCGTGCATTTCAATACTTGGAGTATGTATTATACTTTCTTATCTGAGATTAATCAGTGGACCTTTCAGTAATTAACTTGCATTCTAGGTTAAAAGTGTTTTAAATTTTGTTATACAGTAATTTGAGCCACAGAAAGTTATTATCTTAACTTTGAATTAAAATTGAAAAGAACAGATGCGAAAAAATTTATAGGGATAAAAGTTTTGTAAAATTTGTAGCAATAATTATTTTAATCATGTTGAAGACAAAATATTTAAATTTGTACTCTTTATATTTTCTACAATTTTGTTACTATATATTCAGCCATTGACCAACTTGTTGCTTACATTTTAATACAAAATTAGTTAATGTTTTAGAACAATTAACTGCTTTGCATTAGTTTGAAATAATAAATTAATACTTTAAGCAATATTGAATATGTTTATTAGAGTCAAAGGCCTTTGAATAATTTAGAATGAATGCACTGTCTAAAAAGAAAGTAAGTATGAGAACATTTTATAGAAAAACTTCTTTAAGAAGCTGATGACCAACCACATTTTGTTTTTTCAAAAATAGAAAAAGAATTAGTGACTGAATTAGTAAATAAATACTGGGGAAAAGTCAAACAATTACTGCAAAAATAAAGGATTTTTATTCGATATGAAAATTAACGTAGTTGTTAAAGGAATCGACAATATTAATGATAAATACAATGTCGTAAATGAATTTATTACATTAGCCGCTTTTGTTATTTATCCCACATGGCTAAAATCATGTGAAAACAATATACGGTTATGAAAACCTTTTATTCCAATTCTTTTAACTGAGCTTAAATACAGGAAAAGGTTGCAAGAAATTACCTTATCAGCCAAAGCAAACAAATTCAAGCATTTCATAATTTATTGGAATAACTGCATTTCATATAGAATTACCACTCATGCTACAGTATATTGACTTGAATATTGACATAGAAAAAAAAAAAAAACTTAAAAAATGTAGGCTATATGTTATGTATATAAATACGTAGTTATGAAAGTGAAAGTGGGACGATAACAAAAAAGAGTAAAAATAAAAAGAATTAGTGACAGTATCATCCTCTAAAACTCATTTGTCATCAATATCTTAACAATCTGATGGTGTTGCTGTTGTTGAATATTACATAACTTTATTATGAGAAATGTATAATTTCCATAGTTAGTATTTAAAAGCATAAGATTAACTTCCAACGTAATCCTGCGTGTTGAGTCTGTTTGATTTTGGCTTTTTCAGCATCTGAAGGAATACTTGAGGACTCAGAAGATAGTGACAAAGAACATGAAACGCAACTTGTAAAACCAAAAATGGGTAAGTTGAAAAATTTCAGAGATGTGAGTAAATATTATTTGTTTTAGTTGTTTATTTTATGCATTGCATTGACTAAGAATTAGCAAGGAGGTAGCAGTCTATTATTCTACATCTTGTGATAAATTTTATAATAACATTTATTTGATCAAATAAACAGTGTAAACCACATTGGTAATTATAGAAACCCAAGAGACCATGGAAGGTTCCAGAAGTTGAAGTACTGTTGAAGCAATTGCCTATTGGTTTAATGAAAATAAATGATCAGTGTATATTTCCCTTTCCATTGGCACTAATTGAGAGTTGCCAAAGTGCAAACCAGCGAGGCATGCAATTCATGCGAGCCATGAATGTAATTCTTGCGGGATGTGTACCAACAGTGCGAGTCATGCGAGGCACACAAAAGTCTATGCTAAAAAACAATTTATAAAATAATTACAATAATGATAATAACTACTTTTAACATATTTGTTTGACTGTGACTATGTAATAGGCTATGTAATATTAATTTCAATCACACTGCCCATTCGCCCAATGCATGGACGGAGGACCTTATTTAATTTACAATTAAAAAACATGAAACCAAACACAATTAAAAGATTAAACGTCATAATTTAAAATGCATAAAAGACTAATAAAAATTAATTTATGGGCTAACATCCTGTCTGTGATCCATCATGTTTTAAATAACAATTAATAATTTTAAGTATTTCTTCAAATAAATGCCCTGCTTTGAACAAACGCCCCTCGAATAACCCCCCCCCCTCCCTTCCAAAAATAAATGCCGTTAGAAATAAACACTTAGGGCGTTTAATTTTTCTTTGAATTGTCTCTAATAACTATGGAGGGATGAAGTGAGAGCAACATAATTTTCAACATTGAATTAATTATCAATGTTTTACCCTAGTGGAATTAAATTAACTGCTAATAAGGGATTTATAAGCCATACAAAAACACTTTTTAACATCAATGTGGACTACTGTACATTTACCAGTAAACACTGGCTCCTCAAAAACCACCTGAACAATAATGCCCCTGGGTGCTTGGTATATTGTAATTATTGTATTATTATATAATTTTTTCTTAATTATCTGACTGTAAATGCCAAATAATATAAAAACAAAGGTATGATTAACAATCAAATTATTATTATTATTGATTGTTATAATCAAATTATAACAATCAATGCATTCAGGGTGTGGTGAAATGATGGGAGAGGATGATGGAGCTATGTGTGGCAAATTTTTAGGGAGTCTGTACAGTAGTTCAGTGGTCAGAGCCGCCAAGAGAGGAAAGGAAACTGTAACAGGGGCAAGGGTGGGTGTGGGTCCCCAGTTACGAGCACAACGCGGGAGAAAGATTGCGCCGAGGTGCAAACATTTTTTGAGGGGGCCCTATCAATCTGAAGGGGCCCATTATTAGGGGACCCATGCCATTATTAAGGGCCCATGATAGTAATTAATATTTTTTTTTTAAATATGGAAAACAAAATGCTACCTGCAATTTCTATGGGCCCCTGGTAAGCTTCGGCCCTGGGAATCTTCCCCCTGCCCATCCTCTCGGTGGCCGGTTTTGGTTATGGTAATCCTCAAAAGTATACAATAACCCATACTATTTTAGTATTCTATTAATTTATTATTTATTTATTAATCTATCATGATAAGTCTAAGAACAATAACATCAATTGT